GCAGTCGCGCTGACACGTCCCTTTTTGTCTTTCACCAGCAATCTAACCTTATCTATTTGCTTCTTTATGTTGATAACATTATTGTTACAAGCAACAACTCATCTCTTATTGACAGCTTTACTCGCAAGCTTCATTATGAGTTTGCTACCAAAGATTTGGGTTCTCTCAGTTACTTTCTTGATCTTGAAGTTTCACCCACTCCTGATGGTCTCTTTATTAGTCAGTTAAAATATGCTCAAGATATTCTTACTCGTGCTCAGTTGCTCGATAGCAAACTAGTCTACACTCCCATGGTTGTTTCTCAACACCTGATTGCTGATGGTTCTCCTTTCTCTAATCCTACTCTCTATATATCTCTTGTTGGCGCCATTCAGTACATGACTATTATGCGTCCAGATATTGCTTATGATGTCAATTCTGTCAGCCAATTCTTGCATGTCCCTACTGCAGATCACTTTCTTGCTGTCAAATGTATTCTTCGCTATGTCAATGGAACACTCTACTTTGGTCTTACCTTTCGTCCATCACCTATTCCTAGTATGCTAGTCGCTTATTCGACTGCTCACTGGGCTGGTTGTCCTAGTACTTGACGTTCTACATTCAGCTATTCTATTTATCTTGGTAACAATCACGTTTCTTGAAGTGCCAAAAAGCAACCTACTATCTCACGGTCCAGCTATGAATCTGAGTATCGTGCTCTTGCCACGACTGTTGCTGAACTTTTGTGGGTTACGCATCTTTTGCTTGACCTCAAGATCTCTATTTCACAGCAGCCCTTACTCTAATCCCGTTTCTCACAAGCACGCTAAACATGTTGAACTAAATTATCTTTTCCTTCAAGAACTTGTTATTGCTGGCAAATTTCATACACAATATGTACCTTACCGTCTCCAAGTTGCTGACATTTTCACAAAAAGTATTTCTCGATCTCTCTTCGAATTTTTCATATTCAAGCTTCACGTTTGTTCAAATTCGACGCTCAGCTTGCGGAGGTGATAAGGATTTTTAGGCAAATATCTAGATATTTGCCTTACATTACGGCTTACCATATTTGCAGTTTTATTAAAGGAAAATATATTGAATTCATTTATTATTCTTTACTTTTATTGCTCTTTTCATATTATTTGTAATTTACCATGTATCTTTCTTTTGTAAATGATTATAAATAGAGAACTTTCACCCCATTTAGGTGGGGTGAATTTAGCAAACATTTTCAATAGTCTTTGAAAAAAAAAAAAAAAAGAGACCTCCTATTAACTACTAAATGAAAATCAATGCATACTAGTGCCCTATCCTGATTTTCATGGATGTTTAAGCAATCATCGTAAGTCACGTGGTGAAGAAACAAGTTTGAGGAGGAATGATAAACTGTAGCTCCCAAATTCGAGGAAAACCCAAGAACACGGTACCCAAAATCGTAACTCACGATTGAGAACTCGATTAAGCTAACTTCTTGCTCTAATTAGTTGTCCCTACCTAATAATTTATAGATGAATAATTCTCAAACGTCTAGAATTGTCATTAATTCTGCCAAAAATACCTACTCCGATTAAAGCCTTTCTGACCTTAGATTTGAATTCTAGCCTTTGAATGAGATGATCTATGAACATTCTAGATTGTGTCAAATTTTGGAGGAGATCTAATGGCTAGATTTTGAGATTAAATAGATTTTGGGTAGAGGGTCGCCCTCAAAGTTTTGATTCTAGCCAAAAGGGTATTTTTGTAATTATCCATATTTTTAGGGGCGTTTTGGTAATTTGGCCATTTTTACCATTTTAATATTATTTTCTAAAATTTTCTCCAATTTTCATGGTTATTTGCTTCCAAAACATTGTACAACCTATTAGAATCATACATTACCTCTTATTAGAGGCCTTGGGTGTTACATACACTAAAAGAAATTCTTCTAAACCATTCCTTTTGCTTAAATGAAGAATAAGAAAGAGGTTCCATGAATAAATCGGGTCCTAATAACCTCTGGAAATGGCTGCCTCATAAGTTTTTTTTGGTAGAGCTCCGGCGAGGAAACTATTTCCAACGAACTTTAGAGATTAATAACTTAGGCTACGATCCACGAGAAGGTATGAAACTTATCTCAAGCCCTTCCTTGTAACACCATCTTCAAGTTTCATGAAGAAATCGAGGGGAGAAATCCTGTGATCGGAGTTGTGGAGGAGAATTTTCAAGTGGCGGCATTATGCGTTGCGTGCGTCTTCTTCCTATCTAGACGATGTCATATAAAAAAAATGACTCTCCATTGATTTTTCTCAATTTTAACTCTCTTACAGACCATTTCTCATGAAATATTTTATGGTTCCAGAAACTCGAACATCGACGACGAAGGAGGTCTCGAACATCGACGACGAGGTAAGTACCCATCAAAAAATACTTGTAGGAATTACTTGAATCTTTGTATGAACCCTAAACTAAGTATGATTTAATGGATTATGAAAGAAAAATACCAAGAACCGAGACTTAAGGCTCTATACTGATCAAATTACTCCAGATTTAAGTAACGTTAAAATAACCCACTAAATGAACTCTGCTGCCTATAAAAATTTAATTATGAGCAAATTATGGCATGTTAAGATTATATATGAAATTTGGCGGTGATTGGATAAGGTTAAGTAGCTATACCAAGAAACGGTGTAAAATTACCATAATACCCTTAAGGTAAGTTATCTTCGGTTCATGCTCTAAATGACCTCAAAATATTATGAAACTTTATAGTATATCTTATTTTATGATGTTTAATAACGTGAAGTTTCAAAGTCACTAGGACACGTTAAGTAGCAAAACTAAGAATTAAGGGGTAAAATGATCAAAATAACCCTCGGACTCTTTATGATATCAAGATCTAAACATACTCCAAATGACCTACTACTTTTTATATGGTCTATTCCTAAGGACATGAAGGTACGTTCAAGATTTCATGTTGATTTGATCAAGTTTGGAACCTAAACCAAGTTAGGGCCTTCACTTAAAAGAAAGTACTTCAAGGAATTCTTACCGACGGTTCAAGATTCTTCTTCTAGAACTCTATAAAGAATATATTATGACTCTATGACTTTTTGGAATAACTGTGGCATGTTACAATGCTTGGTTCACAAGCTTAAGATGACATGTTACAACTTATGCCTCAAGAAATAAAGAAACTTAGAAACTTATAAGCTCTACAACTACCAAGGTAACAAGAATGCTAGGTAGTACTCAAGGGTAAGGGACCAAGGTCTTCATACTCAGAAACTCAAGAAACTCCTAAGACCTCCCACCATATAGAATGTTCATGGCTCAGACTACACTGCTTAGAACGTATGAAGCCTTGAGCGTAGGTATTCAGACTACGTCACATGGAATGTATGAAGCCTTGGACATAGATATTCAAGTTGTATCACATGGCAAACACTAGATGAAAGATTTTAGACTATGGTACTTGGAACATATTATGCCTTGAGCGTAGGTATTCAGACTATGCCGCTTGGAATGCAGGAAGCCTTGGGCATAGGAATTCAGGTTCTATCACAATGCAAGCCATGGATGTAGAATTAGACTACATCACTTGGAACATAAGAAACTTTGGATGTAGATTTTCAGATAGTATCACATGGCAAGCCCTAGATGCAGGTTCAAACTATGTTTCTTGGAACGTATGAAGCCTTGGACATGGGTTGTCAGGTTCATGACTGATAACATAAATCCTATGGGGAGTGTCTTGGAGAACGAACCAAGAACCTAAAAAGTAACCATGAACGAGACAACGATCAAGGACTAGAACATGGATCAAGATCTAAATTTTAAAAACAAGAACCGAGAACCATAGTACTAAGACCCTTAGATCAAAACCAAGGTTGAGACCTCAGAATCCTAGGACCAAGGTCTTCAAGAGAGATCACGATAAGAATTCACAAGTCAAGAACATAACTAATGGGGCCTAAGTACTTGCAACAAGAACCTAAACAAGAAAAGAAAGAGTATTATACCCTAGCATACCAAGGACATGATTAAGAGCCTACAAGTAGGCTACTTATTGAGTCTACTATCAGCCTACATGCTATCTTGGAAATCATTGACAACCCGCATGATCAACATCCTCCTATAGGACAGAGCCATTGGGCAAGAAAATCAAATAAACTATCAAGTTATACATCCATAACCAACCTCATGCCTAACTCAAAGGTTCCATACTGAAGTTGAAAGGGAAGTTAAAGCTCTGCAGACACTGTATCGACACAATTACCTACATGCTAACTTGAAAATAACATCAATGACTTTTTTCCATAAGGCACTTAGCTTTAATTATTTTTTTCCCTAGAAACTACTCTACCCATTTTTATTGATGAGTAATGCATTTAATAAATACGAACTATATGAATAAATATCTTATCTTATCCTTATTGACAAAATGAGATTTATTTTAATAAAAAACATAATTTTTTCGCAATTGGATAACATAAATTAGTACCCAATAATTTTCACAAATCTAGTATATAACATCTAATCATCCACTTTCTCCATATATTTCTACCCAACCTTCCAAAATATATATATATATAAATTTCAATCCATTGAAATTGTCTATCCAAATCTTAACATTCTATAATTGTTATTAGACCTATTCGTATAAATAATTTTAGAATAATTAAATTGTGTCTTTGTTTAAAAGTAAAAGGTATGATAATAATATTTGCACATGGATTTCTTTAATGTCCAAATAAAATAAATGAAAGAAATAATAATACATTCAATCAAAAAATTTGCCACTAAGTGAGCCTTTGGTGTAGTGATATGATTCTTGCACATTAATTTTTCTTTCCTAATCGAGGTACATACATGAAATTGTAGTAATGCAAAATATGAGATAAATGATGGATATCATATCCAAGTCTTGACCATATATATTTTATTTACATTTACTTACACTCATAAGATCTATAAGAAACAAATATATTATTTTTTTAAAGTTCGTAGATTTATTACACACATATCTTACAAGTATTTGTGGTCCCATGGTCCAGTGGTTAGGACATTGGACTTTGAATTCAATAACTCAAGTTCAAATCTTGGTGGGTCGGACCTAAATTTCTTCACAAAATTTCTTACTAAAAAAGATTTATTTCTATTTGGAACCTAATAGTTAGGACTTAGAAAAAAATCAATAACTCACTCATAAGAAAAGTCCTTCCCGCATCAAGCACTAATATAGTTTTAACGCCTAATTAGATCGGGTAATCATTTGAATTAAGAACATAAGCCCGTTACTTTTTATTTCTCTATCATTGGAGTATAGGGCTCTATCCATTTATTCATTCGACCCACCCCACTTGACTTGACTTTTTTTTTCCGCATCAAGAATTCAAACAAGGTTTGGCCTAATTTAGTAAGGTAAAAATATTACTAGAATTTTTCATTGATACGACATGCTGCTTTTTCCATTCATTTCTTTCAGGATCAGTCGCGGTCTTACAAACTCTACCGATAGTATGAACGAATCTGTTTCTTCATAGAAATGTGTAAAAGATGCTAGCCGCACTTAAAAGTAAAGGTATGATAATATCCGCAACTTATTCAAGAAAGCATAATTTTGTTTCCTCAGGAAGCGCTCAACTTAATCTTCTAAAGCTAAAGAAAGACTAAATTTTGAAGAAAATGGATTGTAAAAAGATTTCGATCCTTACCCCAGAATTTTACACAAATAATTTTCTTCAATTGGACACATTCTGAGTCTTGTTAACCTTCATGGTCTTCTATGGAAATATTCCTTGGGGGTGCAAAAATCAAACCGGGTATGTCTCTCTTGACAAATTTATGTGTAGGCTCAGATTTAATGTTTGAGCTTCAACCTTCTTCCTTTAATAGCGGACAAAATCGGGAAGTTGTTTTTGAGGCACCTTCAACACTTTATTTCTTTGCCAAACTTGTGGGTAATCTCATTTAGAAGGAGTAGAAGCAAATTTGAAGGAAAATGGTTGACTATGGCTCCCAAATTTGGAATTAATCTGATAGTAAGAAACCCAAAATCTTAGGGGCTGTCCAAACTCATAGTTGAAGACTCAAATTAGCTCGATTCTTTTTCCAAACCAAAACCCCTACTTCAGGATTTATAGAGGGAGATTAAACCGACAATAAAACTTTTAGATTGCTGTGAATTTGAGATTGAGTTCATAAAATTTTTGCAATATATATTATCTATGATTAGTGGGCAACTGATTTGCATGTTTAATTTGGCCATTGGATTTGATGAGTTGTGTCTCTTCTATAAGATACTTGATTCGATTCTTGTTTTTGTCTTTAGAACTTAGACCTTAAGTTCTATCATAGTTTTCTATGTTCTTTTCACGATCTACCCTAAGAACCTTGGCTTTGAGATATGAGGTCTTAACCTGTTTTATGTTCTAAAAACTTTAGTTCTAAGGTTCACGGTTCTAAGTCTTAAACACTTGGGCCTTGTTCCGTATTCTAATTTTTATTCTTGTCTTAAGCTTAGCCTTGTTCTAAGTTCTTTCCTTAGTTCTTCTTTTGTTACAATAGACATTTCCTCTAATATGTACGGTATGAGTAATGAACGTGACAATATGTGTCTAAGGCTTCATTCATTTCAAGACACACAGTTTGTTTTTACGTCCAAGGCTTCTTGTGTTCCAAGCAACATATTCTGAACCTGCCTCCATGGCTTTATGCATTTCCTGTGGTACAACCTAAAACTTACACCTAAGGCTTCTTACAATCAAAGCGATGTAGTCTGAAACCCGCATCCAAAACTTTTTACCTTTCAAGTGATGTAGTATGTAGACCTATACCAAAGACTTCATACGTTCTAAGCGGTGTAGTATGAATACCTATGCTGAATGTTTCATATGTTCTGAGTGTCGTAGTCTGAATACCTACACTCATTTGGTTTCATACATTGTAAGTGATTTAGTCTGAAATCTACATCTAATCCTTTTTACCTTCCAAGCATTGCAGTCTACAAACCTACATCCAAAATTTGTTACGTTTCAAGTGATGTAGTATGAGTCATGAACACATTGTATCATAGGACATGAGAACCACCTACATCAAAAATTTGTTATGTTTCAAGTGATATAGTATGAGTCATGAACACATTGTACCATAGGACATGAGGACCATGGTTCTTTATTATGGAGTGGTACCAAACATTCTTCTTTTCTTAATTCCTATACGCCTTGTGTTGGTCTTTTCCTTGGTTTTTGTCCATAGAACATTCCATTAGTTTCATGTATTCTTAGGTTCTTAATTATTGAGGATTGAGTCATAAAATACTTTTTTATGGCCAACAACAATCTCATAAATTAGGAACTCATCATAATAACGGATCTTGATTAGAGTCACAAGGATTATTTCATTTAAGTCTTAACTTTTCCCCCAGTTTGGTTTTAGTTCTAAATTTGATCTAAGTAACTTAAACTCCAATATATAGATCTTTATGTCCTCGTGCATAAACCTTTATTAAAGTCTTAAGTTATTTAAGGGCATGTGGACTTTGAAATATCTAAAGGTAACCTAAAGGCATTTAGTCATTTTATCTATAAGTCTTGATTTAGCCTCTAAACGTGTTCTAACTATTTTGAAACTTTACATAATCCATGATCATCATGAAACAAGGTCGATTACAAAATCTTATGTTATTTAGAGGTCATTTAGGTCTTGAACAGAAGACAACCGTCATGGGGGCATTTTGGTCATTTGCATCATTTATTGGTTTAGCCAATTATCTTTATCCAATGACTACCAAATTTAATATATGCCCTCAACATGTCATATTATCTTTAGCCTTAAAATTTCATGGACAACCATGTTTATTTAGTGAATTATTTTTTATGTTACTTGGTTATGAAGAAAAACTCTCCTTAACTTATGGTTCTTAGTATTTTTTCTTTCATATGCCCTTAATCCAGGCTTAACTTAAGATTCATACTAGAAATCAAACGGTTCCTATAAGTATTTCTTAAAGAAAATGTTCTAGATGATTTTATACCTCATCATTGGTGTTCGGGACCTCCATTTTCGAGTTTTTTTTGATACTTGAATGACTCCAAATTTTCTTTGACAAACTCTTTAGAGTGTATAATTTCTAGAACCATAAATTTGCTTTTCAAAGAATGAGTTAGTAAGAATGTTAAAATTTAGAAAAAAAACTAACAGAGTGCTGGATTTTAGGTTTGCGAGGCCGCCTCAATTGAATCGCTCACGCCATTCTTTTCTTCCTTTCAAAGAAAGAAGAAACGTGTGAACCGTTGTACTGCTATTTGAAAATCAATCATCTTAGCTCTGTTTTGAGAATTTCTCCCCTCAATTTCATGAAACTTAAAGATAGAATTTCAAGGTAGATCTAGGGACTAACTTCTTACCATCAAGTGTAATGTAGCTCAAGTTATAGCTGGTCGAATTTGGATAAAAATAGGGTTCAACGTATGGAGTAAACCAAGTGGATTTTCTAATTTGTTGAAACAATTGAGGTACTTTTAGGCCATGATTTTTTCACAAAAGTTCGTCCTTATACTTCCCTCGAGCTTAAAATTTCATTTTGAGCGGACAAATCTATTTGTGGACTTCATTTTGGATTTCTTCCCTCGGTCTGCAATTTAACCCATATAAGATTTCTTGAACAGCTAGATCCTTACATCGTTAGGCCATGACTCCTTCATGAACATTGTCAATCTTAGTCCCCAAAAGTTTATGGAATCATCAATTTTGGATGAGAAGGGTTATAGAAAGAAAATTGAAACTTACCCCAATTCTTACTCGAAAATGAATTTCTTAAATTGGGCACTGAGACATATTGGTCTTTGTTAAGAATGAGAAATAAAAATAGAATTGGGATCGAAAGTATGATACAAACTATCACTTAATACTTGAAAATAGAAAAAATATATAACTAACTAAATCTTGTAAATAAATAAAATATTACAGTTAATCAAATCTAAATCTAACCTAAAATATACTACTAACAGATCCTTGAATATCTCAGATATACTCCTAACTAATTATTGAAATACATCTCCAAATATCATATCTTAATACTCCCCTCAAATTGGAGATTGTATGTCAATCACACCCAACTTGTCCTTCAAAAAATCAAACTGATGTCTTCCCAAAGCTTAAATAAAAACATATGTCAATTGCATTTTAGTCGAAACATAACACGGTTTGATGATTCCATCTTGTAACTTTTCTCGAACTATATGACAATCTATTTCAATGTGTTTCGTACGTTTGTGAAAAACTGAATTGGTTGCTATATGTAATGCTGCTTAATTATCACAATATAATAATGCTGGTTCGGACAGTGGAACATTCAAGTCTTGAAGAATGTATCTTAACCAAGTTAACTCTAAACAAGTATTTGCCATAGCTCAATACTTGGCTTCTGGTGATGATCTGGACACATTAGTCTGCTTTTTAGACTTCTATGAAATAATTGAATTTTCGAGGAAAATAAAGAACCCAGAAATAGACCGTCTGGAAGTTCGACAGCCACCCCAATCAGAATCACAATATACTTGTAATCTTAAATTGTTTTCAGATGGTAGTAGGAGTCCTTGACCAGGAGTGCCTTTGATGTATCTCAGAACTCGAAGAGTTGCCTCCCAATGTGGTTTTCTTGGTTCATCATAAATTGGCTAAGCATACGAACTGAATAAGCTATGTCAGGCCTAGTGACAGTCAAATATATTAATCTGCCAATCAACCTCAACTTCTCTCCTTCAATTAAAGAAAGTTTCAGATTCTGCTCCATAGGAAATTTGTCTGGACGTGCTTCTGTAAGACCTGTGTCTTGAAGAATGTCTAGAGCATACTTCCTTTGAGACATAAAAATTTCTTTTCTAGATCGAGAAAATTCAATGTCTAGAAAATATTTCAAATTTCCTAAATCTTTGATAAGAAATTTCTGGAGTAAACTAGTCTTGAGATATTGAATTTCTTTTAGATCATTGCCTGTCAACAAAATATCATCAACATAGATTAGAACTGCAGTGAAAGAAGTAACTTTACTCTTACACTTAGTAAATAAAAAGTAATCTTCTTTGGATTGAGTGTAGCCTGCATTTTG